TTTTCATTTTTCATCTGGTTAATGAGGGACCAAGAGGCAGTGTCTGATGGAAAATTATGGCTGGTGTTAGTAGGCGGATCTCAAATCATTAATGTAAGTGCTTCTCTAAATGCAAATGCTGTGGGCACATCTGTCTCACCCAAGAACTCATTTGGGTTGGCATTTTTTTTTTCCAAGCAAAGAAGTGGTGGGTGGGTTTACTGGTCAGAATTGTTTGAATAATCAAGGCAGTTTGTTTCAGGAAGGCATTTTGGGTTGAGATGTATGTCAGTAGCAGCTCCCAGGTAAAGGGGAGCCATAGATAAATATGGAGGTAGTGTTAAGTAGAAAGGCTGCCTCACAGAGTACCTCTCATCCTTTAAGATATAACTTAAGCACCATTTTTTGTATAAAGTCTTTTCTGGTCTCCCCAACTTTAGGTGCTTTCCTTCCTCAACTACCTCATAGGTAACTACTTGATATATATATTTGTATTATATTCACTATATATTTATGCTGTATATATGTTTATATGTGCTCATCTCTTCCACTAAGGTAAGTAGGTAATGGCTCATCTTTTCTACTTGTATCCCCAGTGCCTAGCATAGTCCCTTACACGTAGTAAGCACTTGGTAAATTCTTGATAATCAATACTTGACTGATTAATTAATTGGACACAGAGTCAGAGAACCTTAGCTTAAATCCCATGTCTACTACTTAACAGCCTGTTTAATCTTGGGTCATTTATTTTACCTTTCTGGGCCTCATTTCCTCAGATGTAAAGGAGAGGATTAGGGATTGAGTACATCCACTCTATTATAATGAGTCACCTGCTCAAGTTCATCCACTAAGTCAACCTCAGATCCTAGACATGAAGCAGGTTACCCGATTCCTAATCCAATGCTCTTTCCGCTATACCACCCTTGTATTTTTTCTGGCATTTGATGAGCCTGAAATCATACTACCTAGAACTATGCATGAGCATAGATCTGGTGATGAGGATGCTGAAAGATTACACAAGAGTATTGGGTTCTGTGATGAACTATCTGTCCTTGTTTCTAGTCTCCTTATAAAGAGAACAAAAAAGACTTTGATTGTAACAGTAGAGATAGATGGGTGCTCTACACTTAAAACAGGCAAGCAACTTGAGTTTAGGCCTCTATTTTTGATGATATTAGAGGTCCTTTCCAGTTGTGACATTCTAAGTTCTGTGTTCTAGTACCCACTTTGGCCCTTGGGCAATAGTTTGGTGACCCCTGCCCTAGCAAATAAAAGGTTGCATGACTATGTTTGACTTCATAATGTTTCACCTGACTATGGTGTTTTAAGCTAGAATGTAAACCTCCAATACTAGGAACTGTTTCATTTTGCTCTTTATGATCCTACTGCCCAACATATCATTCTACCTGCTTAAGGGTTTGTAGAATCACATTGAATTGACAAAATGCTTTCCACTCTATACACTGATGAAGTGTTCAGTATGGGCATCCTTGAACCCTCTTTTACAGATGAGGTTCATAAGAAGCAAAATTGACTTGCTCAGGATTCTACAGTTCTCAAGAATCAGAACTATGACTGGAACTCATGTCTCCAACATTCATACTGTTCCCATCACACCATACTAATTTCCTATACATTTTCTCTTCCCAAAGCTGAACACATCTCTCTACACTGCATACACTTAGTAAATGTCTGTTGAATTAAATTAAAAGATCATGCATAGGTTTGTAGCAGAGTTATTTGTATATCTGTTCAAGTCCCCCAACAGACTTTAAGCTCTGTGGGAGAAGAGGCTGTGATTTATTTGATTTGTATCCCCAGGGGATAACTAAGAACTTAAATGTACTAGGCACTTAATAAATGGCATTTTTTAAACTTGAATTCAATCCAATATACACTCTAGCAGGTCCTATCCAGCTGAAAAGGCCTCAAGTGTGGGCTGGTGATAGATTGTAGGTCTCTTAACGGAGAACCAGCCTAGCTAACCATGGAGAGGCTGGCTGCCAAAATATTAGCTTCCAGGTGACAAATTGTTTTGGCTCCACCAGCCCATGAAGCCCCTCCATCAAGCAGTGGTGGAGCTGTGATCTACATTAGTAAAGAGCCTCCCCACCCCCCATCAATAAATCGTGGGGCTTCCAAAGAACTAAAGTTTCAGTTATTAACCAGAGCATGGCAAAACAGAGTACACTCTCATGTGGGCAAATGGGCCCCCCAAAACTACCATGTTATGATAAAATCTGGCAATGTCTCTTTTTTATGAGACATATGAATGCTGTAGAGGAGCAGCTGCTGGCTTGGGGTTACTCGTCTGGGAGGAAGGGCAGGGGAGCAGTGTTGTTGCTATTCCTGCTCTTCCTTGCCTCAATCCAGTATCCTCTGTGGGGCATTGACTGGATCATGTGGTAGGGGAGACAATTTAGAACAATGTCCATTTACCTTTTCAGGGAGTTGGCACTTTCCTGGCCCTAGAATAATCATGGCCTACCATCCAGGGAACTCTTAGCTAAGCTAGTCATGAGACAAGGTACGCACATATTTCAATACTATATACACATCTGAAGCCTTTTTAACTTAATAACACCTACTAGAACTCATGGGAGCAGCTAAGAGACTCATCTTCCTGAATTCAAATCTGACCTCAAACACTTACTAGCTGTGTGACCCTGGGCAAGTCCCTTTACCCTATCTGCCTCAGTTTTTTCAGCTGTAAAATGAGCTGAAGAAGGAAATGGAAAATCACTCCAGTATCTTTGCCAAGAATATCCCAAATGGAGTCACAGAGAGTCAGACACAATTGAAACAATTGAACAACAACCACCACCAGAATTCGTGCTCCATTGTAATAGCCTTTGAGCCTCCCAGCTGGCCTCTACTCTTCTTTGGAGCATTGGAGGAAAATTTTAGTGGGGGGTTCAATGATCCTGTATAGTCAACATACAAATCCTCATAAGACTAGTGTTAAAATGATTTTTATACTCAGAACTTCCCCTATCAGCCCCTTTCTTCCAAAGTTCTTCAGAAGGACATTACTGATAATGAGATTATTTAATTAAAGGTATGGAAGCTCCATTGTGTTCTGCTCAGGCTTGGGTGGAGACAGATTCTTCTACCTAGAGATAGCCCAAGATTGGGAGTGGTCTGGGCTGGTTGTGGGGGGGAGGGTGGTGCTCTTATAGAAGAGGTATTTCCTCTGTCAAGAGGTAGAATGCTGGCTGGATGATGTCAGCCCCTGTTGAAAAGGTATTGTACCAAGATTAAGTGATCTAAATCACCTTCTCAAGATCCTCATTTTAATATAGCCCACCTCCTAATGTGCTGACCAATCAGAGTTGATTGGCATCCCTTGGGAACAACTACTCTTTGAAGGATATATATATATATATATATATATATATATATATATAACTCTGTACCCCTAATCCCCAAATTGAGCCAGTTCTGGACTGTAACTCCCATGCAATGCATGTTGACAGCTTGTGAGAGAGAAATTAAAATGTGGACACACAGCCTAAATTGTTTGTCCCTTTCTTAAAACAAACTCTGTTTTGGGGGTTACCAGTAGCAATTGGCTTTCAACCCACAGCATATCAGAGGAAGTAAATTAGAAGGTGCAAAGGGCTCTCAGAAATAGGCATGTGAGAATGGAAATGGGAGATAGTTAAGGGTATGATGCAGCATTTCTCAGATTTTTTGTCTCAGGACCTCTTTGCAATCTTAAAAAATATTGAAGACCTCACTTTTTTGATTATGTATGCTGTATTAGAAATTAAAACATCTCAGTATTTTTATGAAAGTTATTATATTAGCATTGTGAGAAAGGATTATTTCTCTCTTATGTTTAATAACTAATTACTGATCAGGACCAAGGTTTTTTCCCCTTTTCTACTTTCTCATCCAGAAATCAACCAGTGTGGGAAATCTTGGGGAAAGACTTACCCAATCTAAGATCAAAGACAGTAAAAAAATTCTAAGTTTAGGCGAATGGTTGGATTCCTGCTTACTGTGTTTACTCAAACAGGTCTGGGAAAATGTGGATTCTCCCTTTTGTCAGAAGGGCAATATGGAAATTAATATCTCTTTGACCAAGACTTGGATGCTCAGTATCTTCTCAAGACCCTCATGTAATATAGCCCAGCTCCTCACTGTAATATTCATTCTCTCCCATTAGTTGTTAACCAGTTAAGAGTTGATTACTGCCCTCAGGAACACCTACCGCCATGAGGTATCATTGGCATTTGAGAGCACCACTGACTTCTTTTAATAATAAAACGCTAGAATTATCAAGAAAATGATTAATTACCCAGTAACTATGCCTCAAACTTTTTAAACATCATAGTATTATTATGAAAATAGTTTTGACCTCACAGGGTCTCAGGGACTCCACACTGTGCCCCCAGACCATACTCAGAGAAGTATGAGTACAGTGAAAGGGCATTGGATTCAGAATCAGGGCACCTGTGTGAAAATCTTGGCTCTGCAATTACTACCTGTGTGGCTTTGGGCAAGTCATCTGAGCCTCAGTTTCTTCATCTGTGAAGTGAAGGAGTTGAACTAGGGATCCCTTCTGGCTCTAAATTCTATGAGTTGTGAGGCCTGACTTAGAGAACTAAGCCCTTATCTTTTGGATGGGCAAGCAAACCCACACAGTCTTCTGAACAGGGGTCTTGAACTGAACATTCTGTGATCCTATATGGGACGCAATTCAAAGGAGCTCTGGACATTCTAAAGTAAGGTGTATACCCAACAGAATAATTTTCACTCGGGTGATGTGCTAGTTGGCCAACACGTGACACCAATACTCCTGTCAAAAAGGACTTAGCTTTACGGAGTTTTCATCATTGAAGGAATAAGAAATGAGTCTTTGCATCTTTCAGACAGCAAATGAGTAGTTTGAGGAATATCACACACACACACACACACACACACACACACACACACACGCACACACTTTCCCAGATGTACAGAACTTGCATGCACCAAAGAAGGACAACTGTTAGTCACCTTTTCTGCTTTCTTACCTGACGCCAAGTATTTCCACAGTCAGATGTGATATACATTTCTTCTTTGTATTCCACCAGCTGAGAGCCCAGGTTACCTGGTTCAAAAGACAATTGGTCAAAGATTACTGTTGGCATTTCATGTTTTCTCTCCATTTTGATTTGGGAAGGCCACATTCACCTTCTGTATGCAGACAATTTAGAATTATAGAACGTTTTCAGAATTGGAAGGAACCTTTGAAAAGAAAGCAGGGATATTTCAAGTCAGAAGGGACTTGAGACTTACAACATGACTATTACAGATATGTTTTGCATGACTACACATGCATAACCTATATCAAGTTGCTTGCCTTCTCAATTGGGGGTGGGGGTGGGGAAGGAGGAAGGGAGAATTTGGAGCTCAAAGTTTTAAAATACATGTTAAAAAGTGTTTTTACATGTAACTGGGGAAAAATGAAATACTAAAGAAAAGGCCAAAAAAAAAAAAAGAAGGGACTTGAGAACACAGACTATTAGAGCTAGACAGGATCTTGAAAGAAAATGCTAGAATTGGAAGGTGCCTTAGATATCAGCTAAATCAATCTTGATTTTGCAGATAAATAGGTTCCTCAATCACATGGCAGTTAGTGTTAGAGCCAAGACTAGAATTGGACTTTTAGTCCAGTTTTCATCCAACATAGGGCCTTTCCCCCTATTAGCCCTATTCTAACTTTCTGAATTTCAGAATCATGCTCCTCCTCCTGCTAGTTCTTCTTGGAACTTCTCTTAGTACCTAGAACCTTCTCATCCCAGTAAAGCCTACCATCCCTGCTTCCATGGTCATCTTGAGATATCACTCTTCAAGGTCCATTCCCCTAGTCTTCCAATCCTTCTCTCATTGGAGAGGTCCTTCTAGAGCCTCCATTTTGAGAAAGGGCCCAAGCCAGCCTGCTCTTGTTCTCCCTCTAGACCCATTCCTGACTTTCTGGACTTCCAAACCATGCTTCTATATTGAGTACCATTATTACAACCTCCCCTCACTTTCAGCTCTCTCCCTCTCTCTCTCTCTTTTTTTTTTTGTATTTTTTCCCCAATTAGAATATAAGCTCCCTGAGGGCAGGAATTATTTTTCTTTTTGCTTGTATTTTTAATGCCAATGGTAAGTACAATGCCTGGCACATAGTAAGCACTTAATAAATGCTTATGTCTTTTCATCCTTCATTGGGGAATATAGTCTATAATGAATTCTCATTGGATTAACATCATATCAGCTATAAGTATACAACTAAATTATAATCCTGTTCTGCACTGCCACTTAACACCGTTAAAAAAGACCATGAATATTTACAATTGATCAATCAACAACACTTATTAAGCACTTTCTATGTGCCAGGTGCAGCAAAATATTAAACATGCACGCCATTTGGTTAACCACGTCTGATATCCTCCTAGAAGTGTCATTTGTAAGTATCCATCCAACTCTAAGAAGCATTTCATCAGACTCACTTTTACTGAGATGACATCTAGTATGGACGGTCTGCTCCAATTTTATCCTTCTGTGTTCTAACTTCCTATGTTTTCTTTTAGCTCCGGTCTCATTAGGCCCAAAGGAAGCCCACTATGCTCATTTCCTTTGGGAACAGAGTTCCTTTTTGGAAGGACATTGGCAACATGTGTGTCCTAGTGGAAAGGAAGCCAGGGATTAAAATCCTGTCTCTCTGGGCAAGTCATTTCATCTCTCATTCTCTAAGATTATAAATTGGGGAGAGGGCATTGAGCTCATTAGCAGAGGGAGTTTCCTCACTCTATGTGAGGAGTTCCCTGTAGCATGAAATCACAGGGCCAGCCCTTCCCTTCTATTGACAAGTTGGAGAGCTTCCAGGATGGTGACAGACTTTGAAACAAGGTATGATTGACAGAACTGGGGATGCTTAGCCTGGAGAAGAAAAGACTTGTTGGGGGGAGGATGGAAAGGGGGATGAAGATTTAAAAATATGTACTTTGATTAATACCTGTTGTGAAATCACTTAAATCCCCTCCCCCTCCCACTATCCCTCCTCCTCCAAGGAGCCATCCCACATTGGGTGAGGATGGATGGCTGTTTTTTAGAGGGTTATCATGAGAATAACAAAGCAGACTTCTACTTGGCCCCAGAAGGCGGAACTAGGAGTAATGGGGGTATTTGCAGAAACAGAATTAAGCTCACTGTAAGAAAACAAAACAAAACTATTAATAATTCCCTAAATGGAAAGGACTGCCATGAGAGATATTGTGTTCCTCAGCTATAAGAAGTATTTAAATGAGAGCAGAAAGACTACTTCTTAACAGTGTTGTAGAGTGTATTCTTGTACTGGCTCAGGTTGAGCTAGATGGATCTGATGGCTCCTTCCAATCCAGATTATGTGGTTCAAAGGGTTGACACCTCCATGATTCTACTGGCCACAGAAGAGGTCAACTCCACCACCTTACAAAGCAGAGGATCTAATACATACGAGCTGCTACAACTTCTATTATCCAACTTCATATCATACAGAGTATCTCAGAGCAAAACATAGCAAATATCAGAATCTGATTCATGGAATGCTGCCATGTAAGCGCAATTTCCTGAGGAAACGTGCAGCTTGCAATTTCAATTGCCTAGATATGTCTTTTAAGAGACATCATCTATCTTCTTTGCTTCCGATAGCAAAACTGTCAAACTGGCAATCACTTCATATGGAAACAGAAATAATGGTAGAATTCATTCAATACAATTGTAGAATGTCTGAGTTAGAAGGAACTTAAAAACTGAGTCTGATCATCTTATCTTACGTGCTTAGAGAAGGGCAGTGACCTACCCAAGGTCACACAGAAATTTAGCAGCATTATTTCTGCAAAGGGACAAAATTCTTGATTAATTATTATATTTGCTTCAAGTCAAAATGTTCTCTCATAGGAAATTAGCACTTTATAGGTTAATGGTTCCATCACTTAAATATCTTAAAACATGTATGATTTTATCAGCATGGGTGTTTCCTTTACTTCAATAGACTCAGATCCTTCATTCCTTAAAAGAATGTTTTCATGAGTTGCTATGGCAAGATAGACAGACAGACAGACAGACAGATAGACAGATAGACAGACAGATAAATAGATGAAAGATAAATTCACAATGCTGTGGACAATTGTTTGATAAAGAACCCCTTCACACTTAACCAGGCAGGCTGGCCCTTGGAAGACATATATACAGTCTTTCCCAGGCCCATATTTAAAGACTTTACAGCTTGTATCCACTGGCAGATAACACAGAATAATTTTCATACCAAGATGAAGACAGTGGAGGAGAATTTTAGTGTAGGTACTGATTGGTTACCTTTGAAAAAAAATAAATGCCCTAAAATTTTGCAAGAAAGTGAGACTATACCATAGTTTTGATACAGCACAGGACATATCACTCACTTGTCATGTTACTAGTTATATATATAGTGATGGAGAATGTATCCCTGTTACCTGAGCCTGGACCTAATTCCTCTTCATGTTCCCTTTTCCCCCCTTTAGCTTGGATCACCAGATAACAAGCTTACGAAACACTGATCTAGAAGTCAGGACACTCAGATTATGGTCCTGGTTTGGCCACCAGATGAGTGAGGGTAGGTAAGTCACTTTCTCTTGATGACCCTTGTCTCCTTATCTGTAAGATGGGTTTAATAGAAAAGACAATCCATAAGGTTTCTGCTAGCTCAAGCAATTTGTGCTCTCTGCTCTAATCTATAAAGCCCTGTCAGCTTTCCTGTCTGGAAGTATATATTCTGCTTTAAATGGATATATTATATGGATATTTATATGGATATGTTACTAACAACCTTTTTCCCTCAGAACTCCCATAGTTCTTGGTTACATAATTTGTAAAAATATGAGGAGGAAATTTATGATTCTCTAATGTATTTGTTTGTATTATTATTATTTATTGAAAACATTTATCCTATCACAAACCACATTATGTACATCTATCTCTGTTGGTGTGTTATGCCTCAATTAAACTCATTGGGGGAAGGGTGCCATCTTGTCTAAACTTTGTCAAGTGCTCCATCTATAGCAGGTGGTTAATAGACACTTGTTGTTTTATACTGTATTGCATTCAGTGAAAGATTAAATGCCTACCATGTGTCAAGCAGCATAATAAGCTCTGGGGATGCAAAGATACAAATGAAGAGCAGAACCATCATATCGTAATATGTTGTGTCACAGAGAGACTAGCTCAGAGTCACACAGCTAGTAAGAAGTGCTGCAAAATTATAATTCAAACCTGATCTTTAGTTCAATGCTTTCAAAAACAAAGGAAAACAAAACAGAAAACCTACCCTCTATGCTCTGAGTCTGTTTTAAAAACTGGTAGAGGAGATGAGATCACACCTATGGTATCATTTAATTCTACTGGGCTCAAAAATCTCCCCTTGATTGCATGTTGTATATCGTATAGCAATTCCTTTCAGCTCCTGAGATTTTTAGTCTTTCAAGTCCTTCTTGTCCTCCCCCCTCCCTCATGTCCCTTTAAAATGCAAATAGACTGTGGGGGCACTTTAAATTTTTCTCCTAAAAATTCTCAGCAATTAATTGACAGGTGGGGAAGAGCATGACTGACAAAATGAATTGTGCAGGGATTCCTAATCTTTCTCCTCTGGCAGTTGAGAGAAGCCTTTGGGCCCCTTTTTAGAATAATGTTTTAAAATGCATAAAATAAACTACCTAGGATTACAAGGAAAACCAAGTCAGTGAAAATAAAAATAAATATTTTTTTTCCTCAAAGTTCATGGACCCTCTGAAATCTATCCATGGATCCTTTTGGGGGTCTGGGGACCTCAAGTTAGAAAGCCCTGGTCTAGAGAAAAGTAAAGGGTTAGAAAACTCTGTTACATAGGGGTTGTCTTGGCAGCAGGCCTGATAACTGTCTTCAAATATCTGAAGAATTGTAATGGAGAAGAGGGATTTGATTTTTCTTTTTCAGCCTGACCTCAGAGGAAAGAGGTAGGGACCTTGCTGGAAGTTAGAGAAAGTTCAATTTCAGCCCACTATAGAGAACTTCCAAACCCTGGGAGCTGTCTTAAGACCTGGCTGAGGCTGCCTGGGGAGATGGCCAGTT